AACGATTTTGGACGATATAAATTCATTCAAATACACAAGAGTTAGAGCCAGACGCACACTTTCACTTACACATGTGGAGCCACTACTTTCAAAATGTCATGTATTAGTGATGAGAAGAGTGTTGTCTAAGAGCCACGGGATTAGTCCAACTTCCAATCTGGAGAGAATACTAGATGGGTGGATGGGTGGGTAGATAGATAGATGGATAGTTTAATGATCCTTGTAGGAGAAATGCAGTTGTCCAGTAGCAGCAAAAAACATCCATCTACACAAACAAAACAAATAAATGGATCATTCTAAAAGTATCTAACAATAGTAAAAATAACATCAGCCCTTCAGGTCACAGCAGCAGAGGTGGAGTAGCCTCTGGGTGGAGCAGGACGGGTCACAGCAGCAGAGGTGGAGTAGCCTCTGGGTGGAGCAGGACGGGTCACAGCAGCAGAGGTGGAGTAGCCTCTGGGTGGAGCAGGACAGGTCACAGCAGCAGAGGTGGAGTAGCCTCTGGGTGGAGCAGGACGGGTCACAGCAGCGGAGGTGGAGTAGCCTCTGGGTGGAGCAGGACGGGTCACAGCAGCGGAGGTGGAGTAGCCTCTGGGTGGAGCAGGACGGGTCACAGCAGCGGAGGTGGAGTAGCCTCTGGGTGGAGCAGGACGAGTCACAGCAGCAGAGGTGGAGTAGCCTCTGGGTGGAGCAGGACGGGTCACAGCAGCGGAGGTGGAGTAGCCTCTGGGTGGAGCAGGACGGGTCACAGCAGCAGAGGCGGAGTAGCCTCTGGGTGGAGCAGGGCGGGTCGTGAAGAAGGACCAGACCAAACTGCATCACCACCTGGTATAGAAACTGCACCGCGGCGGGTGGTGAAAACAACCCAGACTGATGTTTGCTCTGTGAGGCCCGGCTGCCATGGCAACACAGATACCATTTTTGAAGATTGAGGGGAAAATATTTTCCCAAATGTTCCGACACGAGGCAAAACAAACAGGCGGGTTTAGGGGTACACACGCACTAGAAGAATCGGGCCTCAGTTCAGAAACAGACTTATAGAGAAGGCTCTCAGGAACAGGAAGCACTTATAATAATTTGGTAATTACTAATGAGAATATTGTATTAGGTAACTGCTATATCCCACTCGGACTCATAGTTTAAACTCTAAATGAAACTGGCAACATGTGTGGAGTGTTTGGACTAAGACTTTATGCTATAGGCCAATGTGTCGGAAAGTAAACAAGTAGGTAAGTAACTATAATTTGTATTTTCAAAAAGTTTTTTAAAGAAGCAGGCTAGCATAAAGCAGTGTGAGATAAGCTCCACGTTCTGATTCGTGAAACGGTGGAGGGCGGGACATCGAAATGAAAACGATAACAAGATTTAGGGGCTGTTAAACTAATATTGAAATTAAAACATCTCTGAACTATTATAATCAGTTAAAGAAGTATTGGAAAAGAGAATGATTTAATAAGGCCTTTTGACAGAGAAGGGCCCTTTAATGATGTCTTGACATGAAAATCTTACATATTTATGCTGTAAATTAAGAGTGTGAATATTTTGCAGTAGACGCAGAAATGTCATACTACAATATTCTCTTTCTTTTATACTGACACTTTTCTAATTCCTCTACATCCTGTCATGGCTAATTGTTAATCATGGCTGTGACTGATACAATCTTTGAGCCGGAGCTGGAGAGCAGTTGAGGTTGAGGGTTGAGGTCCAGAGGCATTAATCATAGCTGTCTTGCTAATGGTGACAGCACGACTCCAGCCCAAAGGATCAGGTCAGTCACTTATAACGTCTGTCCCGGGAACACGTCTCCACCAATAACAGCGGCTCCACCGTGACACAGCCGAGTTAGGAAAAATCAAGACAACCAATATTTTGGTGTAAAGATTCATTATTTGGGTATATATACATTTGATGACTTGGAAAAGCATGGACATTTATGGACTTTATCTACATTTGTGGACGTTGGTTTCTGCACCTGAAGCACCAATGAGTTTTTTATCATATTCATTTCCTGTGTTTGAACAGTTTGATTCTCTGATCTGTGTCGGCAAAGCGACAGCTTTGTGAAGTCCTCTGAGATAACTATTGTTGTGACTTGGATAGAATTTTGGTTGTTGAATTGCATAGAATTGCAACAGTGTCTCTCTTTGGTCTCTCTCTAGTCTCTTGCTCTGGTCTCTCTCTGGTCTTTTTTCTGGTCTCTCTCTAGACCCTCTCTCCAGTCTCTCTTTGATCTCTCTCTGGTCTATATCCAGTCTTTCTCTCAGATCTCTCTCTATACCCCTCCCTCTGGTCTCTCTCTGATTTCTCTCGATACCCCTCCCTCTGGTCTATCTCCAGTCTCTCTCTGATCTATCTCCAGTGTCTCTCTGGTCGCTCTGTTTGGTCTCTCTCTAGATCCCCTTTCGGATCTTCTTCTCTGGTCTCTCTCTAGTCTCTCCCCAGTCTCTCTCTCTTCTTTTTTTTTCTGTGACGTCCCAAACCACAGTCACACATCACGTCCACATCACGTCCACTGCAGATAACATCAAAAACACAAACCTCTGTAAAACTTCTTTCAGATTGCATTGAACACATTATTCTCATTGTACAGAGATCTCCGTTATATCTGCAGCTCAGTCGCTGACGCTGCAGAATCTGACCCTCCTCAAGCCTCAAACCTCGGCTCATTTTCACGGCGGCGCTAACAAGCCCCGTAGCGCCGCACGGTTAAAAAACACACCATGATTAATGAAGGCAGTGACATGTCTGAGTGAGCCCAATGGAGTGTGCACGTAGAGCCCTCAGCCTCACACTCACTCCAGTCATTACATGGAAACAAGTCTGATGGCTTAATTACAAAGCATCCACATGGTGCCGGGACGCAGGCCCTCTTAATTATCTCCTTCCATCATTCCACACATTTCTATTATTTTGGTTCTCTGCTGCCTGCGCTCGGCTCTGACTGTGGTTTAGTGCTATGAGGGAAAATAGGAGAATAATTGGGATCATCCATCTCTCCCCATTCTCTCCGCCTTCCACGACTCGAGCTGCTTCACTCTCGCACCTCTGACTGCAGTGGGGAGAGAGAGAGAGAGAGAGAGAGAGAGAGAGATACATGTATAAATATCATAGATATACAATGACTTGAAATATAATCGTTTAGGATCGTGTGTCAATTTTCTGAATCCTTTGGGGAGCTACCTGAAAGGAGTTGGCGAGCTACCTGAAAGGGGTTGGCGAGCTACCTGAAGGGGGGTTGGTGAGCTACCTGAAGGGGGGTTGGTGAGCTACCTGAAAGGGGTTGGGGAGCTACCTGAAAGGGGTTGGCGAGCTACCTGAAAGGGGGTTGGGGAGCTACCTGAAAGGGGTTGGGGAGCTACCTGAAAGGGGTTAGCGAGCTACTGGTAGTTCCCGAGCCACAGGTTGGAGACCCCTGAGATAATCAAATTTGAAAGCACACGTTAATTTTGCGTTGTCCCGTTGGAAAATCTTGTTTTAAGGCAGTTAGATTTTCCCCAAATTAAGATATAAGTAAGATAAGTTTGAGCATTTTAAAACTTATTTTTCATCACGTTTTGCAGTGTGTGCCGGGCAGGGCCTTGTTAGTGCTGTGATGGGAGACCTCTGGGAATCCGTGTATAAACCACTTCTTCTTCTACTATATCTCCGTGTATAAACCACTTCTTCTTCTACTATATCTCCGTGTATAAACCACTTCTTCTTCTACTATATCTCCGTGTACAAACCCGGCAGACTGCACCGCCAGGACACGTCACGTCCTGTCCTACATTTGTTATTCGCGCCACTGCCCTAACGTCAGATGAAACCCAAGAATAGACCCTTGTATCGTATCGTATCACATCCCTGGATTACAGAGAGCTTTGTTACTTTGGACAACTATAAACACGATGCTAGTATGCTAGGACCTCTGCCTTTACCTTCCAGCATTAGCTTCGCCCAATGGAAACACAGGAGATGCAAGTTTCCGCATTAAACATTTCTGTATCAAGAACTGTGCGAGTGTTTGTAGGACTCACCTCGGGCCGTTCAGAGAGAAATCCACTCCTGTGCCCAACTCAGCAGAAAAAAGCACAATCCAAACATTGAGCCGTGCACCTCCAGATTGTTTTTGGCCACCGGAGCCCTGTCGGAGGAAGCTCTCGCCTCAATACTACTTTGTGTCTGCTTTAAGGTATGGACTTTCCCCCGACTGCGGCACCACTCCACCCGCCTGCCAAAAACATTGCATTAAAACCAGAATTAATAAAGCGTAAAAACAAGACCAAATTGTGAGTTTCTATATGTTAATGCCTCAATCGGGCTAATTGCGCAGGCTTTATGATCGCTGCTGTATTAACTGTTTAAAGGGTTTTGGCCGGGCCGGCGTTGGCAGTGGTGGCGATGGTGGAAAATGAGCTGGAGCCGGGTGTTTTGGAGTCTGCGAGGCCTTGTGCTGGACAGCTGTGTGGTCAGACCTCCGTCCATAGAAAGTGATTAGTTTGTCCAAGTCGACCACGGACCAGAGGAATCCACGGGAGTTCCAGTAAGAGCGGCTCCAGACACCAAGGACTTTGGTTTCAGTACGAACCACCTGTCCTCCCCACGCAGAGAAAACTTTGACTCAGTTTGTTTGATATGGAAGGTTTGGTATTTATTTTCACATCATCACAGAAGTTGAATAGATTCCATTTAAATGGTTTTTTGTGTATCTTTGTGAATTGTGAAAAATGGACTCCCCAAAAATCTCTGCAAAGATTAGAAATGAGTCCCAAATTGTGCAAACAAAAAAACAAAAAAAATCTTCCTCATGAGATGTTTTTATGGGTCTTGTTTTGTCTTTTCTACTCAGTCCCATTGTGACTCAGTTCAGAATGACTCGGTTCAGAGTGACTCGGTTCTGAATGACTCGGTTCAGAATGACTCGGTTCAGAAGGACTCGGTTCAGAATGACTCGGTTCAGAGAGACTCGGTTCAGAGTGACTCGGTTCAGAATGACTCAGTTCAGAATGACTCGGTTCAGAATGACTCGGTTCAGAGAGACTCAGTTCAGAGTGACTCGGTTCAGAATGACTCAGTTCAGAGTGACTCGGTTCAGAATGACTCGGTTCAGACTGACTCAGTTCAGAGTGACTCAGTTCAGACTGACTCGGTTCAGAATGACTCAGTTCAGAGTGATTCGGTTCAGAATGACTCAGTTCAGAATGACTAAATTCAGACTGACCCAGTTCAGACTGACTCGGTTCAGAATGACTCAGTTCAGAGTGACTCAGTTCAGAATGACTCAGGTCAGACTGACTCAGTTCAGACTGACTCGGTTCAGAATGACTCAGTTCAGACTGACTCGGTTTCTGAATGACTCGGTTCAGAATGACTCGGTTCACAATGACTCGGTTCAGAATGACTCGGTTCAGAGAGACTCAGTTCAGAGTGACTCGGTTCAGAATGACTCAGTTCAGAATGACTCAGTTCAGAGTGACTCGGTTCAGAATGACTCGGTTCAGACTGACTCAGTTCAGAGTGACTCTCAGTTCGTGATTCAGACTGACTCGGTTCAGAATGACTCATCAGATTCAGTTCGACTGACTCGGTTCAGAATGACTCAGTTCAGAGTGACTCAGTACAGAATGACTCAGTTCAGAATGACTCAGTTCAGAGTGACTCAGTTCAGACTGACTCAGTTCAGAATGACTCAGTTCAGACAGACTCAGTTCAGAATGACTCGGTTCAGAATGACTCAGTTCAGAGTGACTCGGTTCAGAATGACTCGGTTCAGACTGACTCAGTTCAGAGTGACTCAGTTCAGACTGACTCGGTTCAGAATGACTCAGTTCAGAGTGATTCGGTTCAGAATGACTCAGTTCAGAATGACTAAATTCAGACTGACCCAGTTCAGACTGACTCGGTTCAGAATGACTCAGTTCAGAGTGACTCAGTTCAGAATGACTCAGGTCAGACTGACACAGTTCAGACTGACTCGGTTCAGAATGACTCAGTTCAGACTGACTCGGTTCTGAATGACTCGGTTCAGAATGACTCGGTTCACAATGACTCGGTTCAGAATGACTCGGTTCAGAGAGACTCAGTTCAGAGTGACTCGGTTCAGAATGACTCAGTTCAGAATGACTCAGTTCAGAGTGACTCGGTTCAGAATGACTCGGTTCAGACTGACTCAGTTCAGAGTGACTCAGTTCAGACTGACTCGGTTCAGAATGACTCAGTTCAGAGTGATTCAGTTCAGAATGACTCAGTTCAGAATGACTAAATTCAGAGTGACCCAGTTCAGACTGACTCTGTTCAGAATGACTCAGTTCAGAGTGACCTAGTTCAGACTGACTCGGAACAGAATGACTCAGTTCAGAATGACTCAGTTCAGAGTGACTCAGTTCAGAATGACTCAGGTCAGACTGACTCAGTTCAGACTGACTCGGTTCAGAATGACTCAGTTCAGACTGACTTGGTTCAGAATGACTCAGTTCAGACTGACTCGGTTCAGAATGACTCAGTTCAGACTGACTCGGTTCAGAATGACTCAGTTCAGAGTGACTCAGTACAGAATGACTCAGTTCAGAATGACTCAGTTCAGAGTGACTCAGTTCAGACTGACTCAGTTCAGAATGACTCAGTTCAGACAGACTCAGTTCAGAATGACTCGGTTCTGAATGACTCGGTTCAGAATGACTCGGTTCAGAATGACTCGGTTCAGAATGACTCGGTTCAGAATGACTCAGTTCAGAATGACTCAGTTCAGAATGACTCAGTTCAGAGTGAGGTGGAGATCACAGTAGGTTTATGTGGCAGTCATTTTAATGTTGATGTTCATGTTGATGTCGTTAACAGGCAAATTAACACAATATTTAAGTAATGCTTTTGGACCTTTAAACCCTGGACTACAAAGAAAACATCTTTTTATAATAATGCTATATTAATGATGAAGGCTTCACTACAATCAGGAGAATGGAGGAGAACAGTTCTTCTGTGGAGCTTGTTCTAACCTGTGCCTGTGCGAGCCTTCTCTCTCTCTCTCCTTTCACTTCAGCGTAGATGCTTTTATTGCACAGATCCCGTCCAAGCACCCCGCAACCACCTCTGCTCCAGGGTCTGCAACCTGTGGCTAGGGACCCACCAGTAGCTCGCCACCCCCTTCCAGGTAGCTCGCCAAAGGATTTAGAAATGAACAAATTTAAAAATATTCTTGTTCAGGCTTGTTCCCACCAATATATTATCCTCAGGGCTGCTTAAAGTTACTTATTGCCCTGGGAATGTAGCTCTCTGGTGGAAAAGACCTCTGCATTTTAATCAGCCAAAAGTTACGGGTCTCTCCATTGCCTCTTTACATCTGTGACATGTTAGTGCCATATGAACCAACTCTGACTCTGAGAAGCACAGGGACTGGCCTCCGGCTGGGACTCTGAGGAGCACAGGGACTGGCCTCCGGCTGGGACTCTGAGGAGCACAGGGACTGGCCTCCGGCTGGGACTCTGAGGAGCACAGGGACTGGCCTCCGGCTGGGACTCTGAGGAGCACAGAAACTGGCCTCCTGCTGGGTCTCTGAGGAGCACAGGGACTGGCCTCCTGCTGGATCTCTGAGGACCACAGGAACTGGCCTCCTGCTGGGTCTCTGAGGACCACAGAAACTGGCCTCCTGCTGGGTCTCTGAGGAGCACAGGGACTGGCCTCCTGCTGATACTGTGGGGAGCACAGGGACTGGCCTCCAGCTGGGACTCTGAGGAGTACAGGGACTGGCCTCCTGCTGGGACTGCAGCTATAATCTGGATTAGTCTTCCTGAAAATGTGAGACAAGCTTCTTCTCTGACAATGTTCAAAAAACAGTTCTGTTTAGCTGCAGACAACCAAAGGATTGTATCGCTCTTGTTGTTATGTGCAGTGATTGTGTTGCCTTTGGTTGTGTCGTTCTTGTTTTGTTCAGCAGTTGCACAAAGCAGTTGCCTTGTGCATGAACTGTGCTACACAAATAAACTTGCTTTGCTCACTCTGCCTTAAACCTGATGATTCAGCGATGGCCTCAGTGCAGGAGAGAACAAGTATGAGTAGGTTTTAGTTGACGCGATTACCTTATCTGTGTATCCTCTGCTCCTAAGCCCGGGCCTGCTCTGTCTGCACAAACACAGGTTTAAAGGGGAGTTTAAAGGGGAGGGCAGAGCGGCCCAGAGAGGATGGGGTTTCATTAAACGTCAGCCAGAGTCAGCTCTGTTTGGACTGCAAATTATTGCTGGCTGATACTCTATTATTTTACAACCAAAGATCGCTGTTGAGAGAAAGGTAGGAGAAGAAGGAAATAGGCTAGAGGGAGAGGAGGGAGCTAAAGAAACTCTGGAAGAGGGAAAAAGGGTTCGAGAATACTATCATAATCTTTGCAAATATTACTGTTGCTGCCGCAGCATGAGCTAAGAATAGTTTAGGATCAGAAACGTCTGGTTCACGCCACAAACCTTTTAACCAACGTGTTAAATATGTGGCAGGTCATCAATAATCTCATTCCATCCTGTAAGAAGCTGTTTGGTATTTGATAATTTTACAGACGCAGCAGACGACAGACGCAGCAGACGACAGACGCAGCAGACCACAGACGCAGCAGACCACAGACGCAGCAGACGCAGCAGACGACAGACGCAGCAGACGCAGCAGACCACAGACGCAGCAGACGCAGCAGACCACAGACGCAGCAGACGACAGACGCAGCAGACGACAGACGCAGCAGACCACAGACGCAGCAGACGACAGACGCAGCAGACCACAGACGCAGCAGACCACAGACGCAGCAGACCACAGACGCAGCAGACCACAGACGCAGCAGACCACAGACGCAGCAGACCACAGACGCAGCAGACCACAGACGCAGCAGACCACAGACGCAGCAGACCACAGACGCAGCAGACCACAGACGCAGCAGACCACAGATGCAGCAGACGCAGCGGACGACAAACACAGCGGACAACAGACGCAGCAGACCACAGACGCAGCGGACGACAGAGGCAGCGGACGACAAACACAGCGGACAACAGACGCAGCAGACCACAGACGCAGCGGACGACAGAGGCAGCGGACGACAGACGCAGCGGACGACGGAGGCAGCGGCCATGTTGCTCTGGTGCAGACGGAGGTTAGAGAATATAAGGAGTGGTGTTGAGACAGAGATGTGGTTTCACACTCAGGTGAAAGGGACTGGACTCTACAACATTATTGGGTCTGAAAAAAGGCATTTTGAGGAAACCGTTGACTCTTGGTGAGCTGCCTAAAAACACAATCCATCAGTGCATAAAATAATTACGGTTTTATTCAAAGACTTAAAGACTCAGTGATGTCTGAGTCTGAGTCACATTTTCACCAAGATTGCTCCAAATCAGAACCTTTGTGGTTTGTGACACTAAGGACCAGCGATGGTCATGTTACTTGTTACTGTGCAGCTACAGTTACTGCAACAAACACACACACTGCAGAGAAAACACACACACACACACACACACTGCAGAGAACATACACACACATACTGCAAAGCGCACACACCCACACACACACAATGCGTGGTGTGGGAGAGACACAAATATAACACTGATATTAAAAAGGCAGGTCTGGTTCTGGATGGTTCTGTGGTCGGAGGCTGCAGAGAATGAATAGTTTTTACAGAAGATACATTCAGACTTTACAGATAAACACAGTCCAGTCAGGATCCCTGCAGTCTGATTGGTCCATAGTCTTGTTTCAGGATCCCTGCAGTCTGATTGGTCCATAGTCCTGTGTCAGGATCCCTGCAGTCTGATTGGTCCATAGTCCTGTGTTAGGATCCCTGCAGTCTGATTGGTCCAGTTTGGTGTCCCTCAGTCTGCTTCATCTCGATGGTGTGTGTCTCAGTCTGCTTCATCTCGATGGTGTGTGTCTCAGTCTGCTTCATCTCGATGGTGTGTGTCTCAGTCTGCTTCATCTCGATGGTGTGTGTCTCAGTCTGCTTCATGTCGATGGTGTGTGTCTCAGTCTGCTTCATCTCGATGGTGTGTGTCTCAGTCTGCTTCATGTCGACGGTGTGTGTCTCTCTCTGCTTCATCTCGATGGTGTGTGTCTCAGTCTGCTTCATGTCGATGGTGTGTGTCTCTCTCTGCTTCATCTCGATGGTGTGTGTCTCAGTCTGCTTCATCTCGATGGTGTGTGTCTCAGTCTGCTTCATGTCGATGGTGTGTGTCTCAGTCTGCTTCATGTTGACGGTGTGTGTCTCAGTCTGCTTCATCTCGATGGTGTGTGTCTCAGTCTGCTTCATGTTGACGGTGTGTGTCTCAGTCTGCTTCATGTCGATGGTGTGTGTCTCAGTCTGCTTCATCTTGATGGTGTGTGTCTGAACCCTGATGGATCCGTGCAGTTGTTCTGCCGGTGGAGTCTGATAGAGTTGAAGTACAAACACACGTGTGTGCTCTGTCTTCACTTTCCCAACACCTCCCCCATAAAGTGTTTGGAGCAGTCCTGCTTGTGACAGGGGAAAGCCCTTTTCTTACCTCTATAAAATGATCTTGGACTTTAGTGTTTGTTCAACACTCTGGTTCCCGTTGAGGAGTCAAACTCACTCCTCGACTGCGGCTTGGAGAAAAAAAAGGTGCGAGTCTTAATGGGCCCGGCCTCAGTGAGGCTCCTGCAGCAGAATTAAAATGCAACATTATACGACTTGGCCAAGGTCAGAGCTGTTTGCAGCCGCTTTCGGAGCCTCTCAATTGAGGTAATAAATTGAGTCTGATGGCTAATTTTAGCTGAAACTCAATATCTCTGGCCACGCTACGAGCCAGAAGGGACCATTTAATCAATATACGTCTGGCTCTGCCGCCAAAACAGAAACTATTCCATAAAAAGGTTGAAAATAAATAAATATGTATTTTATTCAATAAAGTTTCAAGGAATTCTATTGTGTCCCACTGGACAGAAACAGACGTGATGCTTCATGAAGACAGTTCCACTTCTCTACATCAACAAGGCTAAACATCTTACAGGGAATTTACACAGTAGGCATAAACAGCGCGTACGCGTTTACTGCGCGCTCTCTGCGCGTAACATTTTTTTGGAGTATCTACACAGGCCGTGTGCGCAGGTCCACGTCTTCTGATGCTGTCCCTGTGTAGTCTATGGAGCAGTGTAGAGGACAGTACGGGCCAGAGCACTGATGTAGAGCAACACAAATCACATGCATGTGTTTGTCTTCATGGTCTCTGTGCGCTGGTTTGGCCAGACGCAAGACTTTATGAAAGAAAAAAAAGGATGTCCAGAATCACTTTAAAAACCTGCTGCTCCTCCTGCTGATGTTTAGACACAAGTGCAGTGTGTGCGTAGATGCGATCTAGAGCCAAGGGCCGCTAGAAAAATCATGTTTTACATGAGATTTCAATGGGAGACGCGTTGACGCTAAATTAGAGCGCAGCTTCGCGTCATACGTCCGTCGTACGCGCGTATAACGCTAGAAGTGTGAATATCATCATAGGTTAACATGGAAAAAAGTTACGAGCGTCTGCTGCGCGTATAACGCGTACGTGCTGTAACGCGTGATGTGTAAATTAGCAGTTAGTCAGCGCTAAAGCCTGGTTCACACGGCAGGATAATTAGGCGATTTAAGACCCGATTTTGCCCCTAACGACAATCTTAAGAACGCTCTGATTTTCGTAAAAAAATATCTGATGGATTTTCCATGTTTGGTGTGTTAAGACTGCGTCGCTCAGAAAGACGTCAGGACTGCACCGATCTCAAATCTGGGATATCCAGCATGGATTGTTTTGGCCCAATTTCTCTTTGTGTGTGGTGTTGGGGACAGACGAGAACGCTACAGGTGTAGCAGGCCGGTTTAACCCCCCGCCAGAATAAACCCCGGGGTATAAACTGGCCTAATCTATTTTAACCCCGGGGTATAAACTGGCCTAGGCTATTTTAACCCCGGGGTGTATTCTGGCCAGGGGGTTTAAAACGGCCTGTTACACCTGTGGACTGCGGCGTGTAGCCAATCAGAAGACGAGGTGACGAGGCAGCGAGGAAACACCGTCATAACAGTCAATGACATAAATATATATATATATATATATATATATATATATATATATATATATATATATATATATATATATATATATATATATATATATATATATATATATATATACAATATATATAAAGTCCGATGCGTCTTCTTCGTCTTCCAGGATTGTTTACTCTGCAGTCACGGTTTTGCTGCTCTGATTATGAACATTTATTATTCCCAATGAAGTGTTTTCCCTTTTTCAGCTTCTAAAGAGTTTTAATTGTTTGAATTATGTCAAAATATCTATGAAACGTTTGTGCATTTCTTTGAGCAACACATCTCTAAGACATTAACGAGGTCATCATCATTACTAAAACATTGACATCACAGCACTCAGAACAGACACGTGTGGGAGAGTATGGGGTATGAATACTTTTTCAAGGCACTATAATTTTATGAATGAAAACCCGTTCTTCAGAGCCACAGCAGAGTCTGTGTCAGTGACTCACTATAAACTCAGAGATATTTGATTATTCACTGAGCAATGAACAGCAGACATCTCTAATCTGCTCTCGGCTGCTGAGGGTGCAGACCTCGTCAGGGGCCCGCGTCAAGGGCCTGTGTCAGGGGCCCGCTTCAGGGTCCTGTGTCAGGGGCCGGGCCCCTCAGGAGCTGAGGTTCCACAGTGAGAGGTCTTGGTGCCACCTCCATGAATGTACTGTGTTTTTCAGTGAGATGGAGGTTCTCTGTGATTGGTGCAGACGGCAGTGTTCTCAGTTTGGTTTGTGGTCTGTAAAAAGTCTAAATATTGAATGAGTTGCTTTGGCCTGAGCTTTATTTTCAACACTTTCACATAAGAACCAACCCTCGCAACACTCGCTGTGAGAATCACAAACATAAGAACTGACTCCAGGCCTCGGACTCATCCTGTGCAGAGCTGTCTCACAGGGGTCGGTGTGCTTGTTCATGTACTAGTATTAGAAGTACTCGCTATCGCCCCCTATGCTTCCTGTCAGGACCTACATTTGAAATAAATACAAAAGCACTGATGCAGGAGTGTGAAAGAGCCTTCAGCGTCAAACCATCTAGTTTGTCTTCTTGTCAATTGTATAGCACAGTTCATACACAAATAATAATTCAACTAAAAATAAAAGTGCCATAATAAACACTGAGGCTGTAGATCCAGAACTGAGGCTGTAGATCCAGGACTGAGGCTGTAGACCCAGGACTGAGGCTGTAGATCCAGGACTGAGGCTGTAGACCCAGGACTGAGGCTGTAGATCCAGGACTGAGGCTGTAGATCCAGGACTGAGGCTGTAGACCCAGGACTGAGGCTGTAGAGGCAGTGGAATGATCCGCCCTCTGTGACTGTAACATACAGTAAGCCATTAGCCATGTTCACGTTGGTGCTTGATACCCCCCGCGGAGACCTTGAAAGGCTCCGTTCAGATGGAGAACATGTGGCGAGCGTGGCTAACGATGATGACTTTCTAAACCAACAATAAAACTATATGTGAGGGAATAATGTGGACATGACAAGGTCCACATAAGTTAAGCATTTGAATCTTTTTGTCTAGGTTTTTTCAGTGATTGCCCACGTGCACAAGCAACATCCAAAGTGGCCCAATTACAGCCTGTTATGGGGCCGTAAATCTGGAGGCAGTGGCGCAGTGCTGAGATATGAAGCTGTAAAGTCGTGACATATTGGCGGGCCGAGCTGTTAAAGTCTCTGACCCTCATTACACAGAGCTGGTGTTAGTTAATCTGTTGTTCATGCAGGTACAGCTACAATATTATACATGTACAAAGTCTGTCCAATCTAGTGTGATGCAGACGTACGCTAGCTCCCCTTTAGCTCCCCTGTAGCTCCCCTTTAAAGCAGAATGTCACCAGGTCTGGAAATACAATATGACAGTAATTATATTTTGGGAACGATTCAAATGATTCTCGGTGGGTCTGAGCAAATACAAGTGTGGCAAAACCATCAGCAGCCGACGGCACCATGTTTAAGAAAACCATAAAATTAGCCATAATTGAGTGCTCAGGGTTTGTTTTCCATTCTCCATATTTTCTTCCTAAACATCTTTTCTAATTGGCTTCAGAGCGAGGGCTCTGCCAGAGGTCAAAAGGTTCGTCTCACATCACATGGATTGGAGCAGCGTCTGCAGTCAGAGCTCTATCAGACTGTTGTGGTGAAGAGGGAGCAGCGTCTGCAGTCAGAGCTCTATGAGACTGTTGTGGTGAATAGGGAGCAGCGTCTGCAGTCAGAGCTCTATCAGACTGTTGTGGTGAAGAGGGAGCAGCGTCTGCAGTCAGAGCTCTATGAGACTGTTGTGGTGAAGAGGGAGCAGCGTCTGCAGTCAGAGCTCTATCAGACTGTTGTGGTGAAGAGGGAGCAACGTCTGCAGTCAGAGCTCTATCAGACTGTTGTGGTGAAGGGGGAGCTCAGAGCAGAGCCACTGCTTCTCCACGTCAAGAGGAACCAGTGGAGAAGGCAGTTCCTTTGTTCTCACAGCTGGTCTGGGAGCTCACAGCTTCATTTATTTACCAACCTGTGGATTTCTTCATCATCTTCATCATCATCATCATCTTCGCTATATCACCTTCATCATCATCATCTTCATCATCATCCTCTTCACCATCATCATCATCACCTTCATCATCACCATCATCACCTTCATCACCATCATCACCATCATCACCATCATCATCACCTTCATCAACATCATCCCCTTCATCATCACCATCATCACCATCATCACCTTCATCACCATCATCACCTTCATCATCATCGTCATCACCATCATCACCTTCATCATCATCACCATCATCACCATCATCGTCATCACCATCATCACCTTCATCACCATCATCACCTTCATCACCATCATCACCTTCATCATCATGGTCATCACCATCATCACCTTCATCATCATCACCATCATCCCCTTCATCATCATCGTCATCACCATCGTCATCACCTTCATCATCACCTTCATCATCATCATCATCACCATCATCATGATCATTATCATCATCATCATCATCATCAAAACAGCTGAAACATGTGGTTGTCTGTTCTGATAGAAGCAGAGGTTTTACTTTCTTTCATGTTTAGTTTCTGTAAATATAAAGTCTCTTCTGTGTCAAGCTGCATTTGTTGATCTTTGTGGAAAACATGAAGCGTTTATTGGAGAAACACAAATGAAAGTGACACTAGTGACACACAACTGCGGCCAACAGGACCCACTCTGGCAGCGCCGGCGGGTTGTGGTGTGCGACTCTGGGAGTGCCGCGCTTCCACCACTTTCTCCTCCGCTGCTGCCGATTGATTTTTAATTGATTTTTCAGACATGTGGTTCTTCTTGTCACCAGAATGGAAACGTTTGGGTTTTCTCATTCGCTCGATCTCTTGATTTATCCCCACACTCTGTGATTATTGCAGTTATGTGGCGTATTTAATTGGCGGATAGCAAGTCGGAGGAAAAAACTTCACTTTGGAAGAGTAGCTGTTGCCAGGACGATGAGGCGAAGGCAGAGGGCAAATGTAAAGCACCACATTTACATTTAGCTTTGTGTATTTTGATGCCAGTGTGTTGCCAGAAGTTGTCGGTGTCTTATACAAACACAAAGACAGCGAAAAATGCAAGTGCATTTATGGATATTTATTGTAAACAAAATGAAAAGCAATGCAACACCTAAATAAAAAGGGTTAATCATCCCACCTCCGCCCAAACAAACTCATACATTCACTCATTCACACTCTCACAACTGATCTATCTGGCATTATAAAGGTGTTCTTGGGTTTCATACGACGTCAGGGCAGTGGCGAATAACAAACATGGGACCGCCGGGTTTATACACAGAGATATGGTAGAAGAAGAAGTGGTTTATACACAGAGATATAGTAGAAGAAGAAGTGATTTATACACAGAGATATAGTAGAAGAAGAAGTGGTTTATACACGGAGATACAGTAGAAGAAGAAGCGGTTTATACACGGAGATATAGTAGAAGAAGAAGTGGTTTATACACGGAGATACAGTAGAAGAAGAAGCGGTTTATACACGGAGATATAGTAGAAGAAGAAGCGCTGTCAAAATGTTCCAACTGTGGTCTCATATAAAGGAGGACATTGGAATGAGGCGGGCGAGGTGGATCAAGGCTTTCCCAGATAAGCGCCCCCTGCAGGCCACCCCAATGAAACGCAGATATGTCTTCCGTTTTTCTTTCCAAAAATGCCCGAAATCAAGACTCTTTTGAGAAATATTTGTTAGTGCTCCCTTAGAATTGAGTGTCCCCGATTAAGACTGTTACAACAACCGTACACCGCACAGGAGGAGAGCCTTTGACTCCAAAACAGACTTTATATGGTTTTCAATGGGAGCAACACTGTCCCACCTCTGCTCATGCGCCCCCTACTGGCCAGTTTAATGAAACCCAAGTGTCTGTGTGCGTCTGTGTGTGTCTGTGTGTATCTGTGTGCGTCTGTGTGTGTCTGTGTGTATCTGTGTGCATCTGTGTGCGTCTGTGTGTGTCTGTGTGCGTCTGTGTGTATCTGTGTGTGTCTGTGTGTATCTGTGTGTATCTGTGTGCGTCTGTGTGTGTCTGTGTGTATCTGTGTGTATCTGTGTGTGTCTGACTCCACACAGAGATGGTTGTGAGGTCACCGTACATGAGACCAGATCAAGTATTCAGATGTTGTACTCGTTTTTATTGGTAGGGTAAACTGGAGCACCCGGAGGAAACCTACGCAGACACAGAAAGACCCAGGGCCGTCTCGCGGTGAAGCACAAGCCTCCGTGTCCCTCAAGAAGGAAAAATAATATAATGAGGCGAGTTTTGATTTGTTTTTTTGGTAACTGGCTGCGGTGTGTTTAAAGTGGGATTATTATTTCCCACATTTAAAATCATAACTTTGTGGAACTGTTTTTGTTTTTTTTCTAAACCCAAACTTGATTAAATTGATGGCTGAATTGATGGCTTTAAATGAAAATGGTTTGTATGCAATTCTTCCAACATAGAGGACAGAAAGTTAATTTTATTTCTCTCTTCTGAAAAGTAAGATTCAGAAGTAATGTCCTTTTCACATTTTCTATTCAAAGTAAAATCTAATTTATTTGGGCATTACGGATTATACATTTAGGTGGGTCTTTGTTGATTATTTAATATTTCCACACAATCATGAACGTGTACTGTAGATATATAGTTAAACAGATCCTCTGGTTAATGGTTGCGGGGTCTATTTGGTTTGGACCATTTTTCTGCTCTGGTTCAGAGTGAAATTCCGACCTGTGAGCAGCCATTACAGTAATCTAACCCACTGGAGACAAATGCTTAAATAAGAATCTCAAAGTCTGATCAAAAACACTATATTTTTGATAGTGGCAGGGTTTTTTAGGATTTTCTCGGTTATTCTTAGCCCATAATTTCTCATTTCTAAACTCTCCTGACCGGTCCCCTGCCTCACGAAACGACCACGCTCCAGTTGGTGTGTGTCTGGGCCGCGGTGGCGAGGTTAGAGTTAAGAATAGTTTTTCCATGTACTGCACATCACGGTCTATTTCCACCTGCAAACCCCAAAATGTTTCTGCACCTGCACCTGCGATTCATCAGAAGCTGCAATTACTCCTGAGTAATTGCAGGAGTTTGGCGAGGGCTCTTCAAACCCTCGCCACGCCAAACCCTCGTCATAGCAAACCCTCGCCACGCCAAACCCTCGCCACGCCAAACCCTCGCCAAACCCTCGTCACGCCAAACCCTCGCCACGCCAAACCCTCGCCACGCCAAACCCTCACCACGCCAAACCCTCGCCACGCCAAACCCTCGTCACGCCAAACTCTCGCCACGCCAAACCCTCGTCACGCCAAACCTCGTCACGCCAAACCCTCGCCACGCAAAAAACCCTCGTCACGCCAAACCCTCGCCACGCCAAACCCTCGCCACGCCAAACTCTCGCCACGCCAAACCCTCGTCACGCCAAACCTCGTCACGCCAAACCCTCGTCACGCCAAACCCTCGCCACGCCAAACCCTCGTCACGCCAAACCCTCGCCACGCCAAACCCTCGTCACGCCAAACCCTCGCCACGCCAAACCCTCGCCACGCCAAACCCTCAGCAGAACGTTTTTTGTGGCCCACTTTCACCAACAATCTCTGCAGGTCTAAAACAACATTGTGGTTTCTCTACGGGAGCAGAAGTGGTGGAGGGAGATGCTGCCAAAGAACCAGCCACAACGTAATCACGACATGTTTTAGGCCAGAGACGACAAAACCTGGATCTGGCATTTTCTGTTTGCCTGGAGGTGAATGAGTTTGAACTGGGGAAACTTTTATAAAAACATGTATAATTTAATGGAAGGTAATGTTAATACTCTGCAGATATGTGTGACTTGTTTCTGTGCACTTTGGACCATGCTAAGTGAATTGGGATTAGGATTAGGGATGTAAAAAACTATGAATTTTCATGACCGACCACCGAGCCTCATTAACCGGTTGAAACCGGTTAACCGCGTAGTTTAAAATAGTCCACGTTCTTTGAAATAACAGCCATTTCGAGCCGCGTACTTTTCATAAGTGCAGCTCTGCGTTCTACTGGATCAGAACCGAGACAGCGGCGCCAAAACCAGCAACAGCTCCGGCACCTTTGCGCACAGAGAACTGCTGTTTTAATCTTCCCATTCTGCTGTGCTGCGGGTTAATACCAAAACTTTCTAGCAGCAAACGACGGCTCGTTCACATGGTCAGAGCAGCGAGTGACGAGCCGCGTCTCACAGGTCTTCACAAAAGTTTAAATACAAGTGATGTGTGTGGAGCTGATCCCGAGGACCATAAACACAAACATGTTCCATGTGGTTTGACTGGAGCCGCGTATTTGCGCGAATCCTTTGGGCTCCGTGACACAGAGGAGCGCGACAGACCGGTATGTGTGTGTGTATGTGTGTGTGTATGTATGTGTGTGTGTATGTATATGTGTGTGTGTGTGTATGTATGTGTGTGTGTATGTATGTGTGTGTGTATGTATATGTGTGTGTGTGTAAATGTAAGCTCCAATGTAGTTCTGACCCGCGCCAGTGTGCAACTTTGAGGGTAACAGAGGGGAGAGATGATGCGTGTGGATGTTACGTGTGGAGAGGGGGAAAGTGTGTGTGTGCGCGTGCGTGCGTGTATATGTGGCGCGTACGGCGTGAGAGTCGGCCCAGAGTTTACTGATACATTGGCGCACACAGCTAGATACAGACCCGCTCGTCACACCGTGCAAATAGGGCTTAAAATAGCGTTATTAAGAGACCTCCCCTCTCCCCTTTTTCTCTTTTTTAACCGACAGCTTTGACCGGTTAACGCTGTGACGGTCAACCACCGGTTAACCGGTCGCCGATTTACATCCCTACTTAGGATTAAAATGAAGATATTATTTTAGTCTCGTGGTGGAGAAATGTCAGTGTTGCATCTCCAGTTACAGAAGATAGGAATGAGGAACACACACAAGATGAAATGACTAAAATAAAATGGCATTGCTAACTTTTACATTACAAAGAAGCAAGTGTAAAATCTCTACTTTTAGCATAACAAAGAAGCTAGTATACATGATCTAGCTTTAGCATATCAAAGAAGCTAGTAGACATTATCTAGCTTTAGCATAACATAGAAGCTAGTATACATTATCTATCTTTAGCATATCAAAGAAGCTAGTATACATTATCTAGCTTTAGCATAACAAAGAAGCTAGTATACATTATCTAGCTTTAGCATAACAAAGAAGCTAGTATACATGATCTAGCTTTAGCATAACAAAGAAGCTAGTATACATTATCTAGCTTTAGCATATCAAAGAAGCTAGTATACATTATCTATCTTTAGCATATCAAAGAAGCTAGTATACATTATCTATTTAGCTACAAGAGCTTTAGCATAACAAAGAAGCTAGTATACATTATCTAGCTTTAGCATAACAAAGAAGCTAGTGATACATATTAGCATAACAAGAAGCTAGTATACATTATCTAGCTTTAGCATAACAAAGAAGCTAGTATACATTATCTAGAAGCATAACAGAAGCTAGTATACATTATCTAGCTTTAGCATAACAAAGAAGCTAGTATACATTATCTAGCTTAAGCATAACATAGAAGCTAGTATACATTATCTAGCTTTAGAATAACAAAGAAGCTAGTATACATTATCTAGCTTTAGAATAACAAAGAAGCTAGTATACATTATCTAGCTTTAGTATAACAAAGAAGCTAGTATAACATTGTAAACTTTAGCCTTATAAACAAACATATACAACATCACTAGCTTTAGCATAACAAAGAAGCTAGTATAAAATCTCTAGCTTTGACAAAATAAAGAAGTAAGAATGAAATGCAAGTCTTTAGCATAATAAAGATCTCTTACGTTTGTAAAACAAAGTAGCTAGTATAGTATGACTTTAGCATAATATAATCTCTTACAACGGCTAACTTTAGCAGTGAGGTGAATGAGTTTGAACTTTTATACAAACATTTATGATGGAAGGTAATGTTAATATGCTGCAGAGATGTGTAACTTTGTCCCGTGCACATTGGAGCATGCAAAGTGAATCAAGCCCAGTGTTTTGATTCGCCTCCATGACGGGGGAGCGAGCCCGTCCAACAAAGGGGACTATTTTGATGGGGCAAGGAGCGCTGGGCTGATAATGACATAGAAAACAAACACTTGTGAATGGGCACATGGTCCCTGTAGTAACCGCAAGAGTCTTAACGGAAAGAGCTGCAGTCCAGAGCTACAGGAAAGACTCAGGCGCCAAGGAGTTAAAGTAGCCCTACTGTGTGTCGCCTTCAGCCCCATCCTCAAGCATCACCTAAAAATATACCCACTTCCACATATAGGCACATTATTATCTTATGACATTCAGGCTGATCTCTTAAAGGCACAGGGGAGACTTCCCAATCAACCACGAGCAACAATATTATTCTGCCATTCACTGTCGCCGTGTGATTGATGAAGGCCAGAGCTCTTGTAGAATAACAGCGAGCAGACAAACCTCATGTTACACTCTCACTTGTCGCTTCACGATGTAATGGGAAAGCCAAAGAACACCACGCTGGGGCTCGAGACGCAGGTTCCGAGCGCGCTCCAGACAAGAATGTGGAGTTAAAGTGTTCGGCCGACAGAGGAATGTACACGTGTTTGTAAAAGTGGTGAAGGTGTCTGTGGGAATGATCGTACGGCATGGAATCTATACACAGGCCCCTAATCTAACATATACTGTAAGTGTTTATGATTCACAGAAGGCCCCTAATCTAACAATACTGTATGTGTTTATGATTCAGTGAAAGCCCCTAATCCAACATATACTGTATGTGTTTATGATTCAGTGAAGGCCCCTAATCTAACATATGCTGTAGGTGTTTATGATTCAGTGAAGGCCCCTAATCTAACATATGCTGTAGGTGTTTATGATTCACAGAAGGCCCCTAATCTAACATATACTGTATGTGTTTATGATTCACAGAAGGCCCCTATTCTAACATATACTGTATGTGTTTATGATTCAGTGAAGGCCCCTAATCTAACATATACTGTATGTGTTTATCACCTAATCTAACATATACTGTTGTGTTTATTTCATGAAGCCCTACTGTAGATGATTCAAGGCCCCTAATCTAACATATTTGTTTATGATCTATCATATACTGTAAGTGTTTATGATTCAGAGAAGGCCCCTAATCTAACATATACTGTATGTGTTTATGATTCAGAGAAGGCCCCTAATCTAACATATACTGTATGTGTTTATGATTCACAGAAGGCCCCTAATCTAACATATACTGTATGTGTTGATTCAGAGAAGGCCCCTAATCTAACATATACTGTATGTGTTTATGATTCAGTGAAGGCCCCTAATCTAACATATACTGTATGTGTTTATGATTCAGAGAAGGCCCCTAATCTAACATATACTGTATGTGTTTATGATTCAGAGAAGGCCCCTAATCTAACATATACTGTATGTGTTTATGATTCAGAGAAGGCCCCTAATCTAACATATACTGTAAGTGTTTATGATTCACAGAAGGCCCCTAATCTAACATATACTGTAAGTGTTTATGATTCAGAGAAGGCCCCTAATCTAACATATACTGTATGTGTTTATGATTCACAGAAGGCCCCTAATCTAACATATACTGTATGTGTTTATGATTGAGTGAAGGCCCCTAAACTAACATATACTGTATGTGTTTATGATTCAGTGAAGGCCCCTAATCCAACATATACTGTAAGTGTTTATGATTCAGAGAACGCCCCTAATCTAACATATACTGTATGTGTTTATGATTCAGTGAAGGCCCCTAATCTAACATATTCTGTATGTGTTTATGATTCAGAGAAGGCCCCTAATCTAAAATATACTGTATGTGTTTATGATTCAGTGAAGGCCCCTAATCTAACATATACTGTATGTGTTTATGATTCAGAGAAGGCCCCTAATCTAACATATACTGTATGTGTTTATGATTCAGAGAAGGCCCCTAATCTAACATATACTGTAAGTGTTTATGATTCACAGAAGGCCCCTAATCTATCATATACTGTAAGTGTTTATGATTCAGAGAAGGCCCCTAATCTAACATATACTGTATGTGTTTATGATTCAGAGAAGGCCCCTAATCTAACATATACTGTATGTGTTTATGATTCAGTGAAGGCCCCTAATCTAACATATACTGTATGTGTTTATGATTCAGAGAACGCCCCTAATCTAACATATACTGTATGTGTTTATGATTCAGTGAAGGCCCCTAATCTAACATATACTGTATGTGTTTATGATTCAGAGAAGGCCCCTTATCTACTGTAACATATACTGTATGTGTTTATGATTCAGTGAAGGCCCCTAATCTAACATATACTGTATGTGTTTATGATTCAGAGAAGGCCCCTAATCTAACATAAACTGTATGTGTTTATGATTCAGAGAAGGCCCCTAATTTAACATATACTGTATGTGTCTATGATTCAGTGAAGGCCCCTAATCTAACATATACTGTATGTGTTTATGATTCAGAGAAGGCCCCTAATCTAACATATACTGTATGTGTTTATGATTCAGTGAAGGCCCCTAATCTAACATATAATGTATGCGTTTATGATTCAGAGAAGGCCCCTAATCTAACATATACTGT